TCTCCGCACTCTCTGCCTGGCACCTGCGTGTGGAGCAGGGGGTGAGGGCCAGCCCATGGCCATGAGTGACCCACGTGAGGGCCAAGCCGCCTGCGAAGGACGGCCGAGAGGAGACAGGTGAGCGGGGGCCCCAAAGATGCTGCAGAGTCCTGAGTGCCACCTCAGACCCCAGGGCACGTGGAAACTCAGCCTCTGTGGTGGTCCTGGTCACAGGCCACCTGATGCCACCCCTGCTGACCCAGCAGTCCCCCCCCTCCCAGCCCAGGCCTTTCCACCACCCACCTCTAAGACCTGCTCCCTTTACAGCAAACAGGGCACAGGTCCAGACCACAGGAAAACAGACCCACTGGAAAGGCGAGGGGCCAGGGAGTCGGGAGGACTGAGAGTGGGGTCCCCCAGATTTGTCCTCACCCCCTGGAGCAGAGCCAAGACAGACAGGACAAAAGGGACCAGGAGGGTGGGATGGAGACGTGGCTGAGTGGGAGAGCCTTCCCCAGCACGCGAGGCTCTGCATTCCATCCCAGCACCGCCACGGACAGGGGACCTGGAGGTGAAGGCCGCCCGCCCCCCGACTCTGCACCCCCACCCAGGTCACCCGGGCCTCCTGGAGGGGGACAGTCACTGGCTGCCAGCCGGGACTGAGCCTGCCAGCAGCCCCTGCTGAGCCCTTGGGCCACTCCCTGCCCCTTTCTGGACCTCAGTTTCCCCTCTGCAATGAAAAGGGGAGATGGTCAGAATTTTCCATCCCATCCTGACATTCTATGTCTGTCCCTGGACTCAGCAAGGCCTGAATGCTGAGGGTGTCCTGCCTGAGCCCCCGGTGGGTCAACCGAGCTGACGCCTCGTGCCCAGCAGGCCCGTCAGGACCCCAGTTCTCTAGGGAGAAACCTCCAGTCGAGCAGCATGGCAGGGTCATCAGATGCATTTGTCTGCCTCCTGGGGACAGAGCGGATGAGCGCAGTTCACTTACTGAACCCCTCTTGAGGACCAGGCCCTGGGCTAAGGGTTGAATGGAAACAATCTCATTTATTCTCAAGTGACGCCTTGAGGCAGACACTCTTCTGAGACCCACTCTGCAGATGACAAGACCGAGGCTTAGGGAGACTGAGTGGAATCGCACAAGGTCACAACCAGAAGTGCCAGATCTGGGATTTGAACCCACATATTTCTGGCTCTGAAACCCATGCATTTCAGGGCCTCATGGGCCGGCCCTCAGCTGCAGCTCAGGGTGAGGAGGGCAGGGCTGCTTCAAAGACAGGCCCTTCCCTGCACCCCATCCCCAGCAGCAACCTCTCCCTCCCCACCAAACACACACATACCCCCCAAAACTTCCCCAGAAAGACCAAGGCCAGAGGGCCCCAGGCAGAAGAAGCCTTTTACCCCATGTCCCTTTTCTCCCAGCCAGGAAGGGTGCAGCCACCTCTGGCACCCTGCTCCCTCCTTACCCTGTCAGCAGGGAAGCCTTACTGTTAGTGGTCTCCGTGGTAACTGCTGAGGGCAGGTCCTGGAAGAGGGGCCTTCTGGGAAATGTAGTCTTCTGGGGTTGCCCCGGTCTGTCAGCCTTGGTGCTGCTGATAGAGCAGATATCAGTGGGCAAGAGCTTTAGAAATCTTTATGAGCCCATTGTCAAACGGCTCTTTAAACATTTATTAAAAATAAAGTAATAAAAACCTACAGGGAACTAATGACATTTTTGCAAAGTAATAAATACATAAAACCCATCATCCCCTAATTATTTTCCTCTATTTCACATTTATCTGTGTTCTTGAGGTGGTTTACAGTTGTTGTTTCTGTACAATGGAAAAACTGCATAATAGTGAACTAATTTGCGTCTCTTCCTAACTTCTGCTCAGTGATGCCAGGCAATAGCTTTCAACTGGCTGTGGGGTTATTTACACCCTGGAAATTGTAAATGCTACAGACCAGGGCTTTTTCTCTCAGGAAGCCAATTGTTAAACATTTGTCAGAGTCCTCTATTCCACCACAGGGGGACTGTGGCCTTCGCCAGTGTGGGCCTGGGGTGGCTGCTCCTGTGGGGCCACAGAGCCGTGCTACCCGAGTCCCGGGTTCTAGGACTAGGTCTCAGACTGGGTCTCTGATTTAGTGGATTATCTCCTGGGACAAGAAAAGCTCATCTGTTTAATTAGAAGCCCATAACAATTTTTAATTTGCATTTCTTCAAAAATTCAGAAGAGGGTCTGGGTTTGTAGCTCATTGATAAAGCCCTTGTCTAGCCTTTGCAAGGCCCCGAGTTCAATCCCCAGCCCCACACATGCAAATCAGAAGGAAAAAAACCTCCTGGAATAATAATGAATATATAATTATGATTATGCATTCACCCTGGGTTATGCTTATCTTTGAGCCAATGCAGTCATAAAATATAAGTTTTGCTCTTTTGTTTTTAGAGAAAGGGACCCATGAAATTCATAATATCACCCTATGTGGGGCTGGGAGAAAGTCCAGAGAAATCTTATCGATATCCTGCTAAAGCTGTACAGTGATGTTATCAGTGGAAACTTAAGAATCTCTCACTTCTCCGTAAAAAAGAATGATTTCCCCTTTTCTGGCTGGACAATTATGGAGCCATAAAAATAATATCTGTATGCTGTATTAGTCAGTTTTCTGTTACTGCATCAAAATACCTGAAATAATTAACTTCAAAAGAGAAAATACTTCTTTGGTCTTGGGATTTGGGCTATTTCTGCCCGTGGTCAGTTGGCCCTGTTGTTCTGGGGTCTGTGGTGGCACCATACATCACGGTGGGGATGTATGGCAGAGGGAGTCTTCTTCCCATGGTTGGGAAACAAAAGAGAAAGAGGAAGAGACCAGGGCCCCACGATTCCTTTCAGGACACACCCCCAGTGACTTAAGACCTCGATCAGGCCCCATCTCTGGAAGGTTCCAACCCCTCCCAATAGTACCACTGGCTGGGACCACACCTTCAACACACGGGCCTCTGGTGAGCCTCCAGATTCACACTCTAGCAAAGGCCAGATGAGGCAGGGGTGAGGGGAGGGGAGCTCACGACTATCCTGTGTACCTCTGAGTGCTGGTCTTGGTACACAGTGACGGTGACATACCTGAGGGGGATTTGCACGGGGTGAAGGCAGGAAAGGAAGAGGGTAATGGAGATCAGGGGACGCGTCAGGCTGGCACGTTTTCCCCACGTCATCTCATTCCTTTTACTTTCCTATCTATCCACTCTCACCCCCATCCTATACTAGCAACATCTTTTTGGTCCTGGGGATTGAACCCAGGGGTGCTCTACCACTGAGCTACGTCCCCAGCCCTTTTTATTTCATTTTGAGACAGAATCTCACTAAGTCACTGAGGCTGGCCTTGAACTCGAAGTCCTCCTGCCTCAGCCTCCTGAGTCACTGGGATCACAGTTGTGGCTACTGTGTGCGCCTCTCTACAGGCAATCATTCTGATATTGCTCTTTTTCCAAAATGAGCATTGTTTTGCCTGGTAGGATTTTTAATGTCTGTAAATGATATTGTGTTTTTACATCTTTCTGTTTCTTATATTTTTGCTAAGAGCTGTGGGTTTAAGAACCCATCCGTACTATTGTGTGAATCCACACTAATTACTCCTTAATCCTTCCAGGGATGGTGGCCCAGGGTAGGGCCCCCAGCTCACTCCACTTTTCTTTGTCCTGATTGAGAAACAGAAAGCCCTGTTTTCCCTGGGCTTGAGCCGCAGCCGGGGCCTTGCACTTTCCCAGACACCCGTATGGAGCTGTTTGGGTGGTTGCCTGAAGCAGTGAATGATCAAACAAGTCGCCAATCTCGCAGGCACCAGCCCCAGGCCTGAGCCAGCTTCCTTCAACCCTCCGGGGAAACTCCAAGCCCCACCCCAGGTGCAGACACGCCTGGGTAGAAGGCCTGCTTCCGTGGCCCCCCAGGACACAGGCGCCCCTGTCTGTGAGGTGTCGCTGTGATGAAGTACCTGGGGCTGGCAATTTTATAAAGAAAAGGGGTTTATTTCTCTCACAGCTCTGGAGGTTCAAGGGCTCAGGTGTCGTGAACAGCTGTCACAAAGGCAGAATCCCAAGATGGCCAAGGGCATCGCACTTCAAAATCTGGGAGGGCAAGCCACCAGAATGCCATCCTGGGGACCTCACCTGGTGATCCTATGGAATCCTAATCACTTTCACAGTCCCTGCCTCTAGACACCATGGTCAATTAAGTTCCCACCCTCTGAATTCCCCACAGTGGGGACCCTTGGAGGACCCTCCGTCCTTTCCCAAACCATAGCAGTCCCCTGGTAAATGTCACCCTGACCTGAGTGCTTCTGTCTTTGGAAAGGCACCAGCCCTACCTCCGGACTGTCCCTTAGTGGAATTCCAGTGTCTGTGCTTTGGGGACAACTCCAGCCATGGGCTGGGCCACATGGACGATGGTGCACACATGGCGGGTGGTGTCCCTTCTCCCCCTTGAGAACCTTTCTCTGGGATAAGTCCCGGGAGCAGGACCCCCCAGCCATGGCGGCTTCTCTGTCGGCGGCCACGCTGGCTGGACCCTCCTGCCTCTGCGGTGCCTGGGGATCCTGGTCCCCCACCTCGCCAGCTGGCCTTGTCTAGGTTTCTGGTGTTTGCCAGTTAAACAGGGACACGAGCTCCCACTGTCACTGTAACATGCGGCCGAGGGGTGGTGATCTGAAGTGAGCCTTCTGTCCTAACTCATCAGGGTTCAGTTTTGAAAACCTCAGCCCGTTTTTCTCTATTAGGGAAGTGTTGGTGGTTTGGTTTGCAAGACTCCCAGTTGTTAGTCCTTGGTTTTACATGTTTCGAATACCATCCCCCATTCTGTCACCTGATAACATTGGCCCGGGTATCCTTCATTCAATAGAAAAACCTCAATTTTTCTTTTTCTTTTCTTTTCTTTTCATTTTTTTTTTCTGGTACTGGGGATAGAACCCAGGGCCATTTAAACACTGAGCCCCATCCCCAGCCCTTTTTATTTTTTATTTAGAGACAGGGTCTCACACTGAGTTGCTTAGAGCCTTGCTACTTTGCTGAGGCTGGCTTTGAATTCTCCATCCTCCTTCCTCAGCCTCCCTGGCCACTGGGATTACAGGTGTGTGCCCCTGTACCCGGGAGAAAACCTCAATTTTAAAGCAATGAAATGTATCCGTTTGGGGTCTGATGCTTAGAGAATTTTTCTCTGGGAAGTCGTTCCTTGCCCCTCCCTAGGTCACAAAAATATTTTCCTACACTGACGTTCACGTTTCACCCTCCCCTAGACTTTACTCCACCTGGAGTCCACCTGCACGGAAGGGGTCAGCAGGGATCTTGTCTTGATTTTTTTTTTTTTTTAATTGATCCACCGACTCCTGTTGACCGTGCCATCTTGGCTGTGTGTGAAGTCCTCCGGGGGGCGCCACTGAGCACTCTGTGTTTTTCCGCTTGTCTTCCCTCCTGTCCCCACAGGTCTCCAGGTTGGCCTTGTCACTTTGGCCTCCGAACACCGTCACGTCTGGAGGTCAAGTCTTCCTCCCGTGCCCTCTTTCAGTCAGGCAGACTCAGCGATTTGAAGTTTTTCATAGATCACCATAAAAATTTCTAGAATGAATTTTCGGAGACTCTATAAAGAATAAGATCAATTGGAATCGCCTCTGGACTTGCATTGAATCAACAGCTTCTCGTCTTCAGTCGTCGCTCTGAAGGCACAGAGTAAATAAATCGCCTTCTTGTTTTCTGCAGGTTTGTTGTACGATAATGAAAAAATAGATCGGGAACGAAGAAACCCGGGCAGAATGCAGAACTAGGCGACAAGCCGGGGCGGAGGGACCCTCCCTGCGGCCCACCATGACCACGGGCAGCAGGTGCTCAGACCCACGTTCCTGCTGGGCCACAGGGACCGGCGCTGGCAGTCCTTGCGGTCACCGTCTCAGGTCATGGTCCCCTGCGCCCCCTGCGTTGCGGGCCAGGAGGAGGGGGCCTGTACCAGGAAGCCCGCTCTGGTTTGGTTGGTCCCCTCCCAGCAGCTCGCCTGAGGTTTCGGCTGCTCAAGGTTCCCCTTGAAGCTCAGGGTGGGGCCAGGTGACAGTTCTGGAACCCAGGGAACGTCCGTCCTGGGGAAGGGTCAGCAACCAGAGAGGCCAGCCCTGGCTTGGGCCTCGCCTGTGGAGGGGCTTAGCTGGGCGGGTCACAGGTCTTCCCTGGGCCTCTGACGGATCTTTCTTTAAGTCAAAGGAGGGACTCGGGAGGGGGGAGCCGGTTGCTGCTGGGAACTTTACTTTGCCCCCCAGCATTCAGGAGCCCCATTTTATGCTGGGGAGACTCAGGCTCAGAGAGGCCAAGTGACATGCCGGGGTCACACAGCAGAGGCAGAATTTAAGCCCTGGACGGAAATACTCAGAGCGGCTGTTTCCCAGGACACTCAGGTTACGAGACCTTCACCACCAGACACAGACATCCCCGAAGATAAGCCCCAACGTGTCCTCCAAAACACACTGTGGTCCAGCTGACCCCGTGTCCACGCCCCAGGACTTCCTTCCCAGGAGCAGGGTGACTGGCGTCAAGTGACGCACCTTCCTGTCTCTGGCGGTCTGTCTGTCTGCTGGGTTGGACAAGAAGCCAGGAGGCCCCTCGGGTGGACACCGGCTGCTGGTGGGGGAGGGGGTCAGAGCCCGCAGCTCGGGGGGGCTGCGGTGAGCATCTGGTCATGACAGTGACAATGACTCCCCACCTGCAGGAGCCCAGCTGGAGGCTGGGCAGGGCCAGAGGGGAGAGTCAGGGTGAGCCTGGTCTCTCCTGGCTGCCGTCTCTCCAGGGCCACCTCTGCCTCTGTTCTCTGTGTGCATCAGCCCGTTCCCTCGAGTCCCTCCGCCTCGGTTACTCTGCCACCTGGGCTTCCTACGAGGCCAGCCCAAGGCTAGGAAATGGAGAACCAGCTACGGGAAGTGACTGGCCCAACCCAGGTCTGGCCTGAAGCGCCCCCGGCTCAGAGCCCTGCAAATACACCCATTTGTTCAGCCCACAAAGATTTATTGAGATCTTACTGGTGCCGATATTTGGCTCAACACGGGCCCCGCCCTGTGCTCAGCTGGGCTGATGGAGGAGCCAGGCTGTCCTGTCCCTGCCCTTGGGAGCTCAGACTCTCAGAAATGCCCACCTCTGCCCCGCCATCCCTCTGCCCTCTCCTGAGTCCCACACACTGAATGAATAGCTGTGGGGAGCCGGGACCCGTGACCCCCGCCCCACAGTGACAGCAGATCTGAGGCCACCCACCAGGCAGTCACCGAGGGGGAGGGACAGCCTGGAGGGCTGGCCGTCCCCTGCATGGAGGATGGGCCCAGGACAGGCGGCTGGAGGACTGACCCGCCCCTAAAACAGACCTCCAGTCCACGACTCCCCCAGTGGCCCAGGGGACAATGACCTCCGGGGGACAATGACCTCCCGAATGCCCCTCACCAGGACCAAAGCAGAGTGGGGGGGCAGTCACACAGGGAGGAGCAGGGAGGCCGGGCTCGTTCCACATGCTGCCCTGCCACAGCCCACTCTCTGGGGTCAGGGCCCAGCGACACCAGAGGTGGACAGAGGCCGGGCGGGCCGTGAAGGTGTGCTCTTTGCTCTTGGGGGCGGGGGTGGTCTCGGGACGGGAGGGCCTAAATCCCCTGCACATCTGCATCTGGGGACTCTCGGATCTGTGGGCATATCTGGATGGGACCTTTGAGGCCACAGGATCCAACCCGTTTCCTCTTCAGCCGCGCCGTAAAGAGGAAGCAACCGCAGCAGCTGCCGAGGGCACACAGCAGACGGGAGGTGAGTCTGGGCGCAGGGCCGTGGCCGCCTACTCATGGGACACAGAGGGGGCCTGGTCCAGCCGGGCGGTGCCCCCCGAGGAAGAAGGCGTGGAGATCTGGCCCGGGAGGTAGAGGATGGCAAACCAGCAGAAGATGAAGACACCTGTTACAGGGAGAGAGACTTGGTGAGCCTGGGCTGCAGGGGACAGGCCAGCCTGGGCTGGTGGCTGCCCAGGGCAGAAGGGCTCCCTTTTTAAACCTTCAAGGACTCATGAAAATATCAGGCAAAAATGAAACCTACTCCTGAAAAAGAAGCAAACAGAAATCTTGGAAATGAAAAAACAAGGATCTTGAAATGAACAAAACAAAACAGGCAAACAAAGAAAAAAAAAAAAAAAACCCAGCACAGAAAAGAAAGAGCAAAATAAAAAGAATTGTCAGACACACAAACCCACTGCAGTGGGATCTCCTACCATCCTTCTCTAAAGGATTACTACAGGATGCGCTTCAGCAAGAAGAAGGAAGGTGTGGGTATGGAAAATTGAATGAGAAACAAAGACTTTGGGTTTTAAAGGAATTTGTAACAAAAATACTGCACAGTAATTATAAAATTTAGAGGACTCAATGGCAATTAAAATGCCTGAAGTGTTTGGGAGGAAGAGAGAAATCCCAAATAACTCATACTCAATTGAAATCGAACTCAGTAGAGTGAGGCATGCAGGCTTAATTTCTGCAAGAATAATGGCACAATTTATAATTTCAAGATGTATCTCTCCCTAACTCTTAACCTCTAGAATTTTCCAGAGATGGACTCAATGATTCTTCAACTGGGTCTATCCTCAGATGGCTCTCAAGTCATCATTGCTATTGCTGTTGATACAGTTCCCACATATTGAAGATCTGTTGTCTCACAGACAAGATCATAGTTATTCAACATGAAATCTGTCGAGAAAGTGCCGAGACTCTCCTGACTTTAGAGATGAAGGAGGATCAGAGGCATTGAATGACCTGCCCAGAGGTGAGTGAAACTGGGATTGAATCCAGGTGGGGCCATGCCACATGGTCTCCTGGGGATACCGGGAGCCAGCCCTGGTCTCACAGGTTTGCACCCATGGCATCTGGGACGACTGGGTTCCTAGTGACGCCCCTGGAAAGGGTGAAGCATGGTGCCCTTTGAGCTGTGTGCACGAATAACTGGAAACTGAGGAGCGAAGAGATCAGGTGTGGGAAAGAAAGTGTAATCCATCGCCTGGGCTTCTCCTCCTTGGCAGGGGTCTCAGAGGGAGGACCCCGCCAGGGCCGTTAGTTCACATAGCAATCGCTTTCTTCCCATCTGACAGCTCCTCCTTACAGACACGTGACCTGCCCTGTCATGTAGACCCCAAATCACATGACCTTGCCCTCCTTTCACAGTTGATTGGACCCGAGATGGTCACCTGTCTCCGAAGGTCACACAGGGTCGAGGTGGGCCATGTGGGACAGCCGTTTGGGGCCATGGGTAGTGACAGGCAAGCAGAGAGAGGAGAATGAAGGAGTTTCCACAAATGCTAAGTGACCGACAACACCAGGCTCCGGAGAAAAGATGGGCACAGCCTCTGCCTTGATTGGGGTGGCTTTCCTGATCCTGGTGGCAGGTCCCATGAAGTCAGCCACCCTTGATGCTCTGATTGTAAGAGAGCCTTGGATATTTAAAGCCAGAGAGCAACCCTGTTTCACAGACCATCCTGTCCCCGACTCCCAGCACCTCCGGGTGCAGACAGGACAGCGGCCCAGGAGTCTCACCTTGCAGGGAGTTGAAGAGGGCGAAGATATAGATGGTGGACAGACCCAGGGGCGTGAGGACAGCCAGCCCCCAGGTCACACCCACCAGGCTTGAGAGGCCCAGGACGGTGAGGACGGCCTTCCACCTCTGCCCCTGCTCCTTGCCCGCTGTGACACTGCTCAGGGTGAAGAGCTTCCAGGCCACCAGGGCCAGCACCACGGCACCAAAGAGGAAGGTGATGAGGAAGTAACCGTGGACGGTGGCGTAGAGGGCAGGCTCTTTCTGGAACCAGCACCTGGAGGAAGTGGATGGCCACTGGGACTGGGGGAGGTGGGCCTGGCCAGCCAGCCCCAGGACTCCTGCCCCTGCTGACCTTCTGTGACCTGGAAGACACCTCCCCCCACCTCCACCTTCCACACCCCGCTCTTCCGCGGGGTACGGGGCCTCCACGGGCTCCCCCTTGCATCTCTTTATTTTATTTATTTATTGTTTGGGTACCGGGGATTAAACCCAGGGGTGCTTCACCACTGAGCCACATCCCCGGCCCTTTCTAATTTTTTTTTTTTTTTTTATTTGAGACAGGGTCTCCTTAAGTTGCTTAGGGCCTCACTACGTTGCTGTGGCTGGCCTTGACCTTGTAATCTTCCTGCCTCAGCCTCCTGGGTCGCTGGGATTACAGGCCACAGGGCCCAGCTCAGCTTGGTGTTTCTTTAGATCATGGTACAAAAGGGCCAGACCAACTCCAAAGGCCTGTTCCACTTGCTCCACGTCATGTTGTAGCCAGTTGGGCATAAACACCCAGAATTTTGCTTCTCCTATAAAACCACTCATAGGCTGCCCTGTGGACGTCCTCCCTGGAGGATAATGATTGGCAGACCCTTAGATGGACAGGGGACTCCCCCTCCACTGCAGAGCCCCGTGGCCACCATGTGCACTTATATGACTTATTTGGCTTCTGAGGACCCTGCATTTGGAGCCCTGTGGACAGGTCCAAGGCTGCCCCAACCCCTCTCAGCACAGAGCAAGAAGCCAGGGCTTCTCTGGAGATCACTGGGTAGAAGTCCAGAGGCTCAGCCAGTTCCACTGCTCCCTGCACCATAGGGCTAAAGGCCTGAAGGGTATGTCCATCAGCTGCCCCAGGGTACAGAAGAAGAGACTGGGGGTCCCAGTGAGGACAGGTTTTCCCAGGGTCACACTCACAGCAGTCGGGGGCAGAGGCTGACTGGACCCAGGGATGCTGGGAAAGGTTGGGCAGGTCATGCCCTGCATGAGGGCCCCTGGATGAGGGTCAGGCAGGGGCTGAAATCCAGCAGGCCCTGCACTCACCAGGCTGAGATCCAGGCTTGGGAAGGGTGTCACCATGGTGGCTGGTGGTGGCCCTGGGCAGAAGAGGACATCCTGCCTCCTGGCCCAGGTCTCCCTCTCCCTTCCTGAGGAAGCCCCCTCTCCCATTTCACTTCCTTTCTGCAGATTTCAGTTTCCCCTGTGCCACGAGCCAGCTGGACCTGAGGATCCTTCTAGGCTTGACGTTCTCCGTCTGATTTCCTAGGATCCCCCCCCACCTCCCCAGAGCATGAATATGGTGACGCTAGAGGCTCCTTATCACCCGTCTCCCGACAGCCACCACTCACAGCTCCAGAGAGGTGCGGTTCTCCTGGTCGCGGATGGTGTAAAGGCCATAGCTGTTGGCACTTCCGGTGCCAATGACCATGAGGGCGGGCAGGCCTGGGCACAAGAGCAGGAGGTGTGGCACTTCCGGGCTCCCTTGGCATGTCCTCCTCCAAATCCCCTCCAGTCCTGGGGGAGCGGGAACACCCTTCCCTCTCCCCAAGGCTGCCCCCCTCTCTGTCCCCCTCCACGCAGCACCTACCCCAGCCCACCAGGCTCAGCTTCAGGTAGTAATGGCCGAAGTAGGTGTTGAAGACCTTGATGACGAGGAGGTAGAGGTGGAAGGCTTCCAGGCCCATCCAGGTGAAGGTGCAGAGCAGGAAGTAGTGGAAGATGGCTCCCCGGATCCAGCATGCAGCACGGGACCCCGCCGAGCCGCTGCCCACGCTGACCAGGAAGGCCAGATTCAGGAGGAACAAGCTACTGCTCAGGGCCACGTGGATCTTGGGGGCATCGTCGGACTTGAATCTCTGCAGGGAGAACCTGGGGCCAGAAGGACCAGTGAGAGGCTCTGGGGGCTGCCGCTCCCTGGGGCCACCCAGGCCTGTCCACCCCACCATCTGGGTTCCTCCCCGACAGCCCGGAGCTCTGAGCCTCGTGGTCAGCTCCCGTGTCCATCTCTGCCAGCAGCCAGAGGTGAGTACCCTCAGGTTCAAGTTCAGGAGCCCTGCTGTGGCCCAAGGAGTCTGCCAGCCTCATCCCTGGACTCTGGGCTTCAACCAGCTGCATAACTTGCCGTCCCCTGAGCGCAGTTTGCTTTCCTGCGCCTCCCAGACTCGGCCATGCCCAGGTCTGTTCTCAAAGCCCTTCCTGCTCCTCAGCTCCACCCAGGGGGTTCCCCGACTCCTGTTCTCCTCCCAAGCTCCCCGGGGACAGTTCCTTCTGGGGAGCTGTCTCCACACTCTCCTGACCTGAGCCCAGGCTGATGGGACGTTTCCAGCCACACAGCGAAACGTTCTCCTCTCCCCTCCCTGCACCATAGATGTAGTCCTGGCACAGGGCCAAAAGGGGCCCAGGGTTCATTGTCGGGTGAGTAGCATGTGGGTGAACAGGGGTAGTAGGAAGACAGGCTCATAGAGGGACAGGGACTTTCACAGAGTCACGGAGCCTGGCCTCAGCCTCCCTGCTCGGTGCTTCTTTGCAGGGCTCGCCTCCTCCTCTCTATGGAGACCTCCCTCTGAATTCCTAGCAAATCAGATCCAAAAGGACTCTTGCCACTGGGAGCCGTGGCCCACACCTGTAATCCCAGGGGCTCCGGAGGCTGAGGCAGGAGGATTGCAAGTTCAGAACCAGCCTCAGCAAAAGCGAGGCCCTAAGCAACTCCGCGAGACCCCTGTCTCTAAATAAAATACAAAGCAGGGCTGGGGGTGTGGCTCAGCGGTTGAGTGCCCCTGAGTTTAATCCCCAGTACCCACCCCCCCAAAAAAGGACTCTTGCCTGAGGGATGGGAGCCCGGGGCTGCCTGGAGGGGGCATGAGGGGGCATGTCCCTCAGAACACCCTTCCCTTCTGCGCACTCATCCATGGCGTGTGAGGGAGCTGGCGGCTGGTCTTGTCCGCTCCAACTCAGGAGCAGGTGTGTAGCCCGGCCTGGCCAGCGAGCGCCCTCTAGCCCCTGAGCACAGTGGACCAGTGAGACGGCTCTGGTGTAGGCACAGGGTCGACGGCAGGAGCTGCCGTCCCATGGGCAGGTGACCTCGGCAGGGCCTGGAGTCACACAGGCCCCGGGCTTGGTTACTGCTCTCCTGACCCCGTCCTGGCAGCTGAATAAAGTTTGAACAGGGAGCCACGGTGTGTCATTTGGGAACAGGTCCTGCTGCTCCTGCCCGCGTACCCGTGTGTGTGTTTAAGATGATTAAAGTGGGAGGAGATCTGCGACCCACCGTCACCTTCCTGGCTCGGACACTCTCTAGTTTCATAAGACGTCACCATCGGGGGGAACGCTGTGGGGAGGAACTATGGACTCTGTGCTATTTTTGCAATTTCCAGTTAGTCTATAATTGTTTCAAAATAAAATATGTTTTTACAAAAGACCAAGACCTGGGGACCTCTTTTGAGCCTCTGGATCTAACCCTGCCTGAAGCCCACACATGTGAACCACGTCTGCCTTCTCATGGTTTGTTAAGCCAATCTGAGCTGCTGCCACTTGACACACTTCAACCTGCTTCGTGGGCAAGGAGACTGAGGAGCAGTGAGGGCTCTACCCTGCCCTGCTGCCCCCCTGGAGGGCGGGAGGGAGGTGTGGGCTGGGCTGGGGCCACCCACCTCAGGGTAAGATAGAGGACAACGGTGAAGGCCAGGAAGATCATGGAGACTCCACAGCCGGCCTGGGAGATGTGAGTGAGGACCTGCACGGTGGCCCGGTCCAAGACGGGCCTCTGCGGATGACAAGGACGACATAAGAGCAGGTCCACGCTCCCCCAAAGCCCCGGCCCTGTCAGGAAGCCCCTCCCTGGGGCAGGACCGCGGGGGTCACAGTGGAGTGGGCTTTACCAACAGCAAGGCGAAGAAGGTCAGGTGGTCACAGTGGCAGACAGTCCTCTCAGCTCCGAGCTCGGTGGAGCAGCCCCTGGAGTCCCAGTCCCCAGCAGGCCCTGGAGGGGAGGAGAGGGGACCCGGAGGAAGGGAAAGGAGGCCACTGAGGGTGGGACTTGCCTCCCCGTGGGAGCCCACAGTCTCCCTCTGTCACCCCAGAGAGGGTCCTCCAGGCCTTACCTTTGTTCACATCCCAGAACACGCAGGTGAGGGTCGCGTTCTGAAGCCAGAGGGTGGAAGTCAGGAGAGAGGAAAGAGGCTAGGGGGGGTGGGCTGGGTGGGGGGGTAGAGGACACTGTCTCCAGGCCTAACCTGGGGTGCATCAGGGGAAAGCCGCCCCCATGGGTTGCATAGGAAAGTGGCCTGCACCTTGGTGTGCCTGGACCGATAAGTGAGGGACACAAAGATGGCCTGGGGCGGTGGGCAGAGGGTCTGTGCGTCTGCACCTGCGCCTTTAGGGAGCGCGGTGTGGGCGGGTGTGGGAAGCCATGGGCATGCAGTCGGCTGGCCTGGTCCTCACGTGCCCTGCTGTGAGCACCGAAGTGCCAGGTGTCTCTGGCACAATTGTGTGTATGTCCCTAATGGCTTCTCTCGGGCAGATGGTCCCACGTGTGTCTGCACAGAGCCCCGGTGCCTGTGTGTGCCCACCCGCCCTACTGCCTGATAGTGACGCCAGGCCCCAGGTAGGGACTCACCGGGGGCTGACGCTGGTGGGAGAAGGTGATCTCCAGAGGCTCTGGCAGCCTGGTGACAGGGGTGCGACCCACGCTCAAGCCCACCATGTGGTTGTTCAACACACTGCTGCCATCTTCCAGGCGAAGCTGGGGGCCCTGGAGGGGGAGGGGGAGGCCAGGCTGCAGCAGGGACCGCCCCCCCCCCCCAGATCTGGGAACCTCCAGGACCTGGGGCCCTTGCCTGGGGGCAAAGTCCGAGGCCCGGTGCTCCAGACCAGCTGATCACAAAGCCCTGTACCCGAGCGAGAGCCCTCTGCTGTGGGCCCGAGCTCCTCTGTCCTGTTACCCCGGGGGTCACAGGGCTAAGATCAGCCGAGAAACCAGGGGCAGTGGGTGTCTTCAGGTGGCTGAGCACCCACACCCAGGAGACCCCACGTCTGTACACAAGTGGCCACGCGCCTCCGGGCACACACACTGGGTTCCCATTTGCAAGAGTGTGAGCTCGTCTGTTCATTGACTATGGTCACATGTGAGTGGTACAATTGTGTGTGTACAGAAATAGAAAAGGACTCGCGTGTTTGTGCAAGGGCACGTGAGCACGCTGGAGTCTCATATGCAAGCCAAGGGTTGCTGATTATGGGGCGGTGGAGGCTGCAGTCCGTGCCCCCTAGAAATGGCTCTGGATGACCTGGCTGCTCTGGAGACACTCTCAGGGCTGGGCACCTCCCTCCCCCCAACCCCAAGGTCTCCAGCCAGGCCCAGGCTGGTGCATGGGACCACGGAGAACCCAGCATTGAACCTGAATCCTCACCTTGAAGAGGTCCCCAGCACCGATGTCCAGAACAGATATGGCCAACCGGACTGCTGACCTGCTGCCCGGCAGGGAGGCGAAAAAGCTCCTGGGAAGTCGGACTCTGTCAGGGGGCTTGTCCTCGCCCATCATCACCTGCCTCGGAATCTGCAATCACAGGCCAGCACTCCAGCCCCCATGCAGGTCCGCCATTGCCCCAGCTGGAAGGGAGACTGAGGCGCGCTGGGCAGAGGGGCAGCACTTACAGACCACCACCCCTGAGGGGCAGGACACTGGGCTTAGGCCGGGCTCTGCTCCTCACAGGCCATGGGCCCCGAATAGTCAATGACACCTGTACAGCCCCAGGGTCCCCACTATAGGAAAAAACCACCTGCCACATGGCCACCTGCCAGGCTGAAGGTAGCTCCTGAGAGAAGACCCCTGGGCGGCCTCAGTTTGCAAGGAGGGGGAAGGCCAGCAGTTGAGAGCCGTGGGCTGGGACCTAACAGCCCCGTGCTCCCACATGGTTCCATGGTGACCGTGTCTGGCTTCAGACTCAGGAATAAGTGGAAAGAATCAGGCCACCAGGAAGGAAGGTCAGCAAGGGACACGAGGGCAGAGGGGCAGGACACACACATTCACTGAATGAAATCCTTCCAGCCCAACAGCAGGTTGTTTAAAAACGAAGGATGCTCAGAACATGAGAATAAACCCCATGGGTGATCGCAAAGCCCACTCTGTTCATTCCCTGATCTCCCTGACCCCCGGGGGGCCTGCAGCCCGCTCCCCGCTGGTCCCTGCCTCAGCAGCATCCCAGGCGCATTGGAATAGAGGAGCTAAGAGCTGGAACGAAAGTCCCCGTTTTCTCGTTCTCAGTCCAGACATAATTGAAAGGACCATGCCAGGCAGAGGTGAGTGACATAATCAAGGGTGGAGAAAGACCCTCTTCCTCTTTATCTGAAAGAACCAAAATTCCCTCAGGGATAACCAGCCTGCCCAGCTGCCTGGTTCTTCACCATCAAATCCATCCCCTGGGCAGGCTGCTGGCCTGGGAGCCCCAACTTTACCAGGGTGGGCTTGCTCCTCCAATGGCACAGAGAGTGGCAGCTCTTCATCATTTTACCGATAGGGAAACTGAGGCTCAGTAAAGTCATCTCCTCATGATCTTAATGGCAGAGCTGGGATGTTTTTCAAAATTTTTCATTTGTTAATGGCCCTTTATTTTATTTATTTATTTTCATGTGGTGCTGAGAATCGAACCCAGCACCCCACACATGCTAGGCAAGCGCTCCACCACTGAGCCCCAGCCCCAGCTCCCAGAGCTGGAATTTGAGACATGCCCCTGCCCATGTAGCCCTTCTGCTGCCAAGTGTGTCCTCCCTGGTTTTAAATGTGTTCCCTGGGCAGCAGAGCTCACGGGGATTTTAGACTTGGAGGAGCTTGAGAATTCATCCTACTGATGAGGATTCTGGGGCCCAGAGAGGGAGAGGGACTTCTGGGGACATCCAGGGAAGAAGTGGGAAGGCCAGTACCAGACACTGTTCTCTGGACTCTCCATTCAGTGATCTCCCAGAGGTCTCCTCCCACCGCCCTAGACTGTCTAGTACCAGGTCCGCTCGTCCAGGTAAGGCACTGGTTAACTCACTAGCCCCCGTTCACGAGGCAGGAAAGTTCTACTGAATGGAACCCGGGAGGGTGAGGCTCTCACGGGCACATGGCACTGGACATGGCTCTCTCACAATCTTTAACTGTGTGCCCAAGGACAACAGGGTCAAGGCCAGCCAAGGGGCTCGGGAGAGCTCGTCACCTGAGCCGGTTTCAGAGAGAAAAGCAGATCTTCCGAGGTGTCGGTGCTGAAGTTCTGGACCAAAGCCTTCACAAAGGGCATATCCACCTTGTCCTCCAAATTCTTCTCCACCAGGTAGAACTCGTAGTGTAGCCAGTATCTGCAAAGGGCCAGGGTTGGGGGAAGTAGGAGCCTGCAGGCTGAGTCACCCACTCATCTGACCCAGAACACCAAAGACGCTGGGGTCACTGCGGGAGAAGACAGGTGGCTTGGGAATAACCAGGTCAGTCCTGGGGGATTCCAGCTAGGGGTCCCTCTTTTTTTTTTTAATCTTTTCTGTGATAAAATACAAATAACAGAATTTGCCATCTTAAAGTGCACGATTCAGTAGAAATAAGGACATTCAAAACGTGTGGGACTGTCCCCACTATCTAGTTCCGGAACATTTTATTATCTCAAAAGGAAGTCCCATATCCATTAAGCAGTCACTCTCCCCCCTCAGCCCCTGGAAACTGTTAAATTTGCCTTCCTGCCTCTAGAGGTCTGCCAATTCTGAATTGTTCAGGCAAACAGAACCATACAGGAGGTGGTCTTTGGCATCTGGCTTCTTCGTGTGGTGTTGTCAAGGTTAATGCATGCAGAATCATCATCATTATCTTATTCCCTTTTATGAATCAATATCCTTTCGTTGTATGGATGTACCATATTTTGGTTACCCATTGATGGACCTTTGGATCTTTCCCACTTTTTGGCCAGTGGGCAAAATTACGAAAATCCACGTGCAAACTTTTGCCTAAAGATTTGTTTTCAATCTTTACACGGGAATAGAATTGCTAGGGGACGTGGTAATTCTACATCTAACCTCTCGAGAAGCTGCCAAACCATTTTCCACAACAGTTGCGCCATTTTCTAGTTGCCTAGCAACATACGAGGGCCCCAGTTTCCCCACATCCTTGCCAACGCTTAAAATCTTTCATTTTTGTTTCATTTTATTTTTAATTTTTGCCATTCTCATGGGGTAAATAAAAGGCTCATGGTGTCTCATAGTTTTGATTTTCATTTCTCTAATGACCAGTAGATGTTGAGCATCTTTTCACGGGTGCTTATTGACCTTCTAGTTATTTGGAGAAATCTCCCCCAGGCACATCAGCACACTGCTTGAGTACTAACTCAACAGAGAGAAATTTGGTTTTTGAGAACTGAGCTGCATGGGAACCGCCTGGGAACAGAGCTGGTGTTGGAACCATTAAAACAGGAATTAACTGGCATTTGTTTTGCTAGGGCCACCCAGTGGCGCTCTCCGTGGTGCTGAAATCTCACCGTGCACCAGGATCCTTTTCCTAGGCAGGGAGTCCCCAGAGCTCCTGCCAGCCTGTTCTAGAAATTCTGAGCAGGGGAAGGCTGAGGTAGTAATGGGACATAACGGGGAGGAGTGGAGATATGACCAGATGAAAGTTCTGGAAAGGAGTAACCATGGAGGAAAAAAGGGAGCCTTTTATTTTGCCATCATTCTTGAACAGTCGCTGTTATGAAGAGCAAAACAAACAAACAAACAAACAAAAAACCCAGAGACTACAGAAAATATATTGTGCAACAGAAATGGCAAACCATGCAAATATATGCACAGATGCTTTGGTGGAAAAGGCATGAGAAAAGCAGCCAGCCAGATAGATGGTCCAAACCCATTGATTGAGCTACACCAATTGATCCTAGCTTTCACTTACCTTTAAAATATCTAGACAAAGAAGTATCGTGACTTTTATGGCAATCAAATAAAATAACAAATTGTAGAAGTATCGTAATTTTGTTGCCAAATAAAACACTGAATCATATACATATATATTCAATTCACAATATATATTCACATGTATTCAATTATATATGCATATATACATATACATGTATGAATATATGTGTTTATATTTATACATATATGTTTATATATATATATATATACACACACACAACACACACACATATATTAAATTCATGCACTTAAACATAATTCCTTTGCTTTGCAAAACAACCCAATTCACTCCTGAGGACAATTTTCTGATCTGATTCTCAGGTGTAGGAATTCTTATAATTTTATGTGGCCTCAGCATATCTTTTTTTTTTTTTTAACCCAGAGGCACCTAACCACTGAGCCACATCCCCAGCCCTTTTCAGTTTTCATTTTGAGACAGGGTCTGGCTAAGTTGCTTAGAGCCTGGCTAATATGCTGAGGCTGGCTTTGGACTTGAGATCCTCCTGCCTCAGTCCCCGAGCCGTGATATTACAGGTGTGTCCCCTGTGCCCAGCCTAAACATACATTTTGAATATCCACTGGACTTTCTCTTAGCAGAAGCAGGCCTCGCCCTTGACACAGTTTCCTGCTCTCCAGCTCCTCCAGTTCATCCATGTGCTCAATCCAGTTATCCACCTTGTACAACTGTCTCTTAGTGACCACTTCCCTCTGGGACAGCCAGAAACATCACACTTGACTGGCGCCAGTGACCCACATCCCCCAAATGAACCATGCGGACGTGCACAATGACCACATCCCAGTCCTGCATGACCTACTAGAATTCACGCCTATTTCCTTTAACCCCGCCAATAACTCCCCTGCAGAAATGCTTGAATTAGCCTTGGACCCCAAGGAAATCTTTGACACATAGATCTCTCTCTCTGTCTCTCTCTCTCTCTCTCCCTGGCTGCACTTCCTGAAGAGCGTGTGTGTGTGTGTGTGTGTGTGTGTGTGTGTGTGCACGCGCGCACACATGCACGGTCTCCAGATGTGCCACAAACTCTCCAGGGTCCATAAGTATAAAATATTTATTTCTATCTCATGTCCCTCCTAATTATTGAAGAGTGCTCTCCATTTTAAAGATCCTAAATCACAACATCAGCCCACTTAAAATATGATTTTAGTTGTGAAATGGGATACATATATAAAAGTTTAAAGCATAGATGTATGATTAAATATTGTTATTGTTATAATTATTTTCATGCTGGGGATTGAATCCAGGGGTGCTTACCCATTGAGCCACATCCCCAGCCCTTTTTATGTTTTATCTAGAGACAAGGTCTCTCTGAGTTGCTTAAGGCCTCGCTAAGTAGCTGAGGCTGGCTTTGAACTTGTGATCCTCTTGCCTCAGCTTTATAAGCCTCTGGGATCACTGGCATGCACCACCATACCCAACCGGTTTAAATTATTAATCATAACATTGGCACTCACTGAAGTATCACCTTCTTTGATATGAATACAGCTTCTTGGATTTCCCCTGGTTTACTTCAGATGTATTTTTTTCACATTGCGCCCTTTTTCAAAATAAGTGCCACGAGATTCAAAAATGTATCTTTTACTTTGAAGGGCTCTCCTCACATCCCCCTTTGAAGGCCTCCAAATGTCCAGAAAATTCTCTGAGGCATAGGCCCCACACTCTTGTGGGGGTTTTTCTCCTATCCTGGATGTCTTCCTGAGGCACATTAAGGATTGTCACGGTGGTTCTTATGCATAATGTCCCCACGGACATCTGAATTCCAGTCTCTGGGGACATATGTTTTCCTTCCTTTTAGGCAGATACCTAGGAATGAAGCCAGGGTCCCATCGACTCAGTGAATGTGAACAGGTCCCCTCAAGGTAAAAGAAGAGGCTTTGGCCTTCACTCTGCTTATGTTGGTAAGACAGGCCCAATGTGGGGAAGAACCCAACACGCAAACGCGCCTCATCAGATCTACTCAGCACACCAGGGGGAGCGCGGAGAGGAGCCTGCAGAACGTCAAGATGAAGAAGGTCTCTGTGAACTCTTGACAGAGAGCAGGAGAACTGGGAGAGCCCAGGTAATCACTGTGGCGTACACAGTTGGTGCTGCAAGATTACAGTAAACTGTTTACTGAGATTGGAATGGAGAAAAAGCATTAGGCATGTGTTTGCTGTATGCCCATTTGCCAGGGGCTGCGTTCGTGTGCTGGAGCTGGCACACTCACGGGCAGCTGCAGGTGGCTGACCCCCTGAGGAAGTTCATCCTTGCCCCTTGGTCCTTCTTGAAGGCCACCTGACCCATGGGGAGTTGAGCAGGGCGATGTCACATCCCTGCTTCTGTCAGGTCTTGGATGGTGGCAGTAACCCCTCCAGTTCTTCCAGGGATGTGGTTTACTAACTCAATTGGAAGATGTACCAGAACCTTCTATTTAGCCTCCCATGAAATGCCTCTCCAAAGCAATTCAATGGACAAAGGACAGACCACCCTTTGTCTTCCATCCAGTTCTTTGATGAAAGAACTGGCTATCCAAATGCAAAAATGGTAATTACGGTAATAATGATCACAACATAAAGTTAGGCATTTGTCTTGAATTGTGCACAAAAATTAATTATAAATGGATAACCCAATTGTAAGAGCTAAAACCAGACCCTTGTAGAGGAAAACTCAGGAGAAAAATCTGTGTAACCTTGGGCTAGGTGAATATTTCTTTGATATGATATCAAGCACGCATATGCAAATTTAAATTGGGTTTCATAAAAAAAACGCTTTTGATCTGCAACAGACGGCATTAAGAAAACGAAGAAGACCCACACTGGTAGAAAAATATTTGCGAATCACACATCTGATAAAGGACTTATTAATAATAATGAGATTGTTAATAGTAAGAAGGCGAATCAATAAAAAGGGGGAAAAATTAAATACTCCTTTCACCAGAGAGAATCTACAAAGGACTAATAAGCTCATGAAGAGCAGCTCAGCTTCATTCCTCATTTATGAATGCAAATTAAAACCGCAGCACAACCTCACAGCACGTGCACTGGAATGGCTACCCCTGAAGACACTCGGGGGAATTCAAGTGTGTGCTGAAACCAGAGCCTTCTTATGTTCTTGAAGCGAATGCAAAGGAGGCAGCCACTTTGAGAAACAGCTTGGCAGTCTTTCAGGACGCAAAACATGCTTAACCGCATAGCCCAGCAATTCCCTTCCTTAGTGTCTACCCCACCCCGCAAGGGAAAACATATCCACAAAGACTTGAGTTCCAACCTTCATGGCAACGTTATTCAAAATAACCCAGAACTGAACTCAAGCCATGTGCCCATCAATTGGTGAATGAATACACTCAATGTCATAGACCTATATGATATGTATATTAGCATATGCTAGAAATATGATTGGAACTCGATGCATGCCAAGAGAAAGTAGCTAAACCCAAAAGACCACCTGTTGTATGGATCTCTTGAGATAAAATGCCCAGAAAAGGCAAATATCAGACAGGAAATAGATCAGTGGTTGACCGTGGCTGGGAACGGGGGCTGGACTTTATGGCAAAGAGATACAAGGGTACCTGGGTGGACAGGGGGGAGGTGTTCTAAGCAGCTGTGGTGACGAGTCCACACTCTGTGCAAATGCACTAACAATCATTGACCTGTGTAGATGGTGTGGGATATATATCCCAATTAATCTATCAAAATTAACAGAAGCAAATGATACACAAGTATATTTACTCGGCAGGGGCTAGGATTTAGAAGATGGATGATACCAAGCATCGCAAAGATGTGCGTAGCTGGTGCGCTCACACGTGACTGGAAGGAGTGAAGGTGATACACCCACCACAGAAACTACGGCAGTGCTTACTAAGACAAGCCACATGCCCATCTGTGACGGAGCACCCGCTTCTTAGGTATTGGCCCAAGAGAAAGAACACGTTCCAAAAAATGTTCACTCCCAGCGGCTTGAGAGGCTGAGGCACCAGGATCGCAAGTTCAAAGCCAGCCTCAGCAAGGCTCTAAGCATCTTAGCAAGACCCTGTCTCAAAATGAAATATAAAAAAGGGGCTTGGGATGTGGCTCGGTGGCTCAGTGCCCCTGGGTTAAATCCTCGGTATTCAAACAAAAACAACACGGAAAACGACCCAGGCTCCCACAGAGCCTTAAATACACGGATAATATGTCCTTGAGACAATTTTCATAGCTCTGAACTGCACCGTCTGAGTGCTGCCGGCAAAACCAAAACCCTCTGTGAAGCCGAGCAGAGCTTCCGCAGTCTGTTATTTTCCTGTAGGGGACTGTAGACATAAATGGGAAAGATATTCCATACAGCTCTTAGAAGGATAGGAGGGCCTCTTCCTGGGCTAGGGATGGGTGAGAACTCCGTAAACAAGACAGCTAAAACTTGACAACCCGCCCTATAACAAAATGAAGAACTTCTGGGCTTAGTCAAGACAGCACCGAGAGAAAGAGGTAACCCCCAAGGAGACAGACTATGATTCCCGTGCGTGTATGTGTAAAGACAAGTATCAAGAACATGTGAAGAATCCCCCCAAATCAAAAAGAATAGTTCAAACAACTTCACAGAACAATGAGCAAGAGGCTTAAAAGGGGCGCTCTGCCAAGAGGATATCAAGATGCCAAGCGAGCACGTGACAGGTGGGGACCTCGAACGTCATCAAGGAGCTGTCGATTATTATGAGCTGCACTCTGAACCTGCCACATGGCTCAAGTGAAAAGGCAGACCATACCAAGTGTCGACAAGGCTGCAACGCATCTGGAACTCTCCTAAGCTGCTGGTAGGAGTGAAATTTGGCTCAACCCTTTTGGAAAACTGCTTTGCAGTTTCTACTAAATTTAGTAGGTGGGTCCTACGTCTATCCTCTGACCCACTCTGCCTAGGAAAATACCTTCCAGAAACACAGGCATTCGACAACATACGCCACCAGGAATGCTCATAGCCACGCTCTTCGTATAGGCCATCCACAAGGAAGACTGGATAAATGAGTCGGGAGTCGGGTGTGACATAAGAAGCTAAAAAGAATTATACCACTTAAAATGATCGCTGCCCCCGGATGGTGAGATCAAGGGAATTTTTTTTCATGTTCCTTTCTGCACCTATTTTCCAAATATTTTGTGATGAAGACATATTTTATGATGAGGAAGACCATTGACATAAATAACACTAACACCCGTTGAGTTCCTACTCTTCCCTCGTCGTTCTTACCCGCATTATCTGATCCTCTGAGCTCCATGATAACCCCTGAAGAAGGCAGGAGAGCACCAGCAGCAAACGCTTTGGACCAGCAATAAAAGGACAGGGCTGACGGGGGACACGGGGACAGCTGACATGTTTGGGTTATACATTCAGGCTCACAGTCGTTCTAGGATGAGGTGCTATTTTGGTCCCATTTTACAGCTGGGGAAACTGAGAGCTAACCCGTCCAAAGGCCAGTGCCACTTTTGAGCTCTGGTGGTCTCAGTCCGGCCTGGGTCACACGAGGCCCCTCCCTCACGTCCTTCCGAAGCTACAGAAGCAGCTGCGGGTGGAGATGGGACCGTTTTTCAGGCCACCAAAGGAATGCAGTTCCATCAGGCTGCTGTCCCAACAGTGAGCCTGAGAGCACCAAGTTTTCATTCATTCCTTCAAGGAGTAATTGTCGAGCCTGGCTGGACGCAGGGCCCTTCCGGGGGTATTTGGAGGGACGACGGGTGGAGAGAGGCAGGGTACCTGGGGAGAGGGCTCTTGAAGGTGCGCTCTGAGGCCCCCCCCCCTCCGCTCCCCCAGCTCACTCCCGCTCCTTTCTGCTGATCTCACCCGGGGCCACCTGTCCGGCACAGCTTGCCTGGTGGCTTAGGTCTTGGTTCAGCCTTTGCTGGTGTCCACCCTGATGCGGGGCTGGGTGGACCCCAGGGCCTCGCACCCGCTAGGCAAGGGCTCTACCACCGAGCAGCCCCCCAGCCCTAGTCACGGTTTCCAAAGTGCAAAGTCGTCTACACTCTTTGGGGGCTTGACAGTTGGCACCTGCCTGCTTCCCCAGGTCGGACCGGCTTACACAGCCCCTTCCTCCTTGGTCCTTGCTTTTATTTCCCATCCTGTTCCCCTGCCTGTCCCTCTTGTCATCGTCGCCTCCATCCCTAGAACTTTGTGCTTGGCAGCTCAAAATCCTGTAGTCTTTCCCCATAATCTGAAAGTCTGATCGCCCGCCATTGATGGGTCTAATCACAAAACTCCTACGAACTCTTCAAAACCCTGCCTCGCTTGCCCTTTCTACAAAGGCCTGGCAGACTTTCCCCCTTTGGACTACCTGGCACCTGTCCACCCTTGGGTCACACACTGGAGTCACCATCAGTGGGGTTCACGTTCATGTCCGTCCCTCTACGACTGCCAAGGACAGAGACCCATTCCTTTCTGCATCCCTTAGGTCAGGAGGACCCATGACCTAGCAGAGGCAGAGAGGAATCGTCAGGGGCGGGGGCTGCGTCCCGGGGAATGCGGGTGTTACGTAACCAGGTGGAAGCGGAGGTGGAGCCGCACCTTTGGAGACAGACGTCCCAGGTCCTATCCTTCCCCTCCCCCACAGAACAGCCCCGCCCCCAGGCCTCACCTCTCCAGCTTCCCGGGATTGCCGGAGACATTCCCCAGCTGCAGGCACCTGGCAAAGCACTCCCCGGTGCGGTTCAAGTAGAAGCGGTCGTACTGGTCCTGGATGTCCAGCCCCTGGCAGAAGTCGCGTGGCTCTTCAGGGACAGCCCCCTCGCCTAAGGGAGGGATGCAGAGAGTGAATGGCTGCGTGGGCGGGGCATCGGAGTCTGTGATGGCGACTGGAGCCCAGCCTCCTCCTGCACAGCGATGGTGCATCTGGCTGGACTCCGCCCACCCTGACCCTCCCTTTCCAAGGTGAAAGGAGGCACCCCTGCCACCTCACAGGATTGGTCAGGGTAGATGTGGGAAAAAAAGATAGAGAGACAGATCACTTACACGAATTTACACTAATAGGACACTTGGTGATATATCTTGAAGAGCTTTTCATCTCAGTCTTTATATAGTTGCATACTATTCCATCCTATGGATAGCAAGACAATTTTTCACCTAGTCCCCCATGGATGGTATTTAGGTTTTTGGTTTGGGGTTTTTCTTTCCTTTTCTGTTTTTACAAGTTGGAACAATGTTGCCATGACAATTCTGGAGTGTGCACCTTTGTCAGCTTGTGCTGAGAATTCATAAAAAAAAAAACATTCCTATCATAGGAAGTGCTGGATCAAAATGTATGTGCTTTTAAGCATTGCTAAATATGTGGGGGCTGGGTGTGTAACTCGGTGGTAGAAAGAACCCCAGCATGGCAACAACAAAACCAAACCAAAAACAAGCCAGATGTAGAATACATGCTTAGCAGGTGCAAGCGCCTGGGTTCAATCTCCAATGAATAAATAAGCAAACATTGTTAAGTACTATTGAATTTTCCTTCAAAATAAGCTGCACCTATAAGTACTCCCACCAAAAGTGGGCAAAAGTGGCTATCTGGTTACTTGTTCATAAAACCAACTTTTAACCCAGCTTCAAATTCTTGCCCATCCAAAAGGTGAACTTGAGAGTCCCATTCTAGTTTTAGGAAGGAGTCGCAGCAACTGTCTATGTATCTGCTGGCCACGCAAATATTTGCTGGTATCTTTCCACGGACGGCTTTGCCATTGGCTTCACACACTGGGGCAGGAAGGGGGTCTGGGCTCTGGGCATCTTCATCTTTCAGACCAGCCCACCCAGAGCAGTTTCCAGAGCCAGGTCTGGCGAGGTGGGCAGGGATCATTTTAAACACCCTTCTCTGGTATTACAATTAAAAAACTAAAAAATCACATGCAGTAGTACTTTCAACTTAAACTAGTTGGGTTTATTTATTTATTTATTTATTATTATTAATTATTATTTTAGTAGTAGATGGACAGAATACCTTTATTGTATGTATTTGCTTTTATGTGGTGATGAGGACTGTGCTAGGCAAGCGCTCTGCCACTGAGCCACAACCCCGGCCCCTGGTTTTTTATTTTTAAGACAAAAAGTATATGGGGAACGATATTGGCCACCTTGTATGGACATGTGGCCGTGCATGTATGAATATGTAGCAACGTATCCCACCACTGGGTATCATTATTATGCGTCATAAAAAATATGGGGGAAGAGAAGTCCGTGGTAACTGTCATGGCAGAAAGGAGTAACCACGGGTTAAAAAGTGACATCTTACAGTTGGTCGTATAACCATCAGATCTATGTGACGGTGTTGTCTTCATTACTTATAAAGGAGCTGCCCACTTGTGTGAGCCTGTGAGGATTTTTAGGACGCCTTGTTGGACGGGAAAGGCAGGTGCTCCAGAGCCGCCCAGGGTGGGATCCTTTCCTGCCCTGGAGTAAAGGGTGGGTGGGGAGGAGGGGGAGAAGGGGAGAGAGGGGGAGTGGACGCTGACTTGGGAGGGAGCCGCCCTTCCTGGCTGTCCCAGCCCTGCCCAGCCCTGCCGTCTGCCCCAGGCGCACAAATGTGCAGGAGCAGAGAGGCCCAGGGCGTGGGGGGACACGGCTGCCTTCGGGGACTGTGCATTTCAGGAGGTCCCCACGGAAGCTCTTGGTGAGAACCCAGCTCAAAGAACCTTGTTAAACAGCTTTTTGTGATTCTTGTTTTACCATGTCAGAAGCACTGAGCCCAGACAAGCAGATCCCCCAAAGGGCCTCAGTGTGGAGAGACGCCACCCACCCCTCTAGACTCCCCACCTGGTCCACCCACACTGCCCCAGGCTGCTCTGTGTGGCCCAGGGAGGGGGCAGAGGTGAGAGGGGAGGCCAGGGCGGCCTCCAGGCCTCCTCCCATGCCTCCAGCCCCTCCCTCCCACTCACCAGCCTCACTTTTCCTTGGGGACACCTTCCTCCCTTAGCCTTCAGACTCGGGTACTGAGACCTGTCCTCAGAAGAGCCACTACGGGTGTTTGTCCCCCTCCTCCTCCCCCACCTTGGAAATGGGCCCTTTAGGATCCCTCCATTACCCCGGAGCAGGCATCTGACCCCTGCTCAGCCTCCACCCTCAGCCTCCACATGCGGGTCCCCAGCACACACCCCAGAGTGAAGCACCCCTGTCCATCTGCTGGACCATGAGCCCCGAGGGAGTAGGGACCAAGTGGCACAAACACAGGATCTACGCAGGGCACCGTTGGTGCTTCTCGGATGAATGGATGAGTAAATGACGGAGTGAATGAATGAATGAGTCGTAAATGGAGACTGCCCCATCAACATCCCCAAAGGACAGAGTCTCACCTCTAGACTTGAACCTGCCGAGCTCCTTATGTCATTCAGATGGCTGCCCTTTCCCCCAAGCCCAGAGACCCCGCCACCATCAGAGGAGCCTTGAAGGCCCGACAGCAAAGTCTGGCTTTGGCGAAGACCCAGGTCCTAGGACACTCGTGAGGCCCGGTGACAGCCATCCCCCACTAGGTTAGCCTAACTGCCCGCACTGGGCCAGGCCCTCCCCGGCCACCAGAGGGGCAGCGCCACTGGGCACTGTTTTGAGGCAGAGACAGAAATTTGCACGTTGCTGGGTCTCCCAACATTTGAAGAGAAGAGGGGGCTTTGTAGCCCAGAGAGGTTGGTCAGAGCCTGGGCCCCTGCTTGCTCCCGCTGCAGTGAGTGGTCAGCGCATCTGGCTCCCGGATCCCGGGCTCTGAGGTCGGGGCACCTCCGGCCCCCTCTGCCTGAACCACACCAGCAGCCAAGGGGGGCACACAGAGCAGGCCGGGGCGGGGGGCTGGAGGAGGGCTTCCTGGGAGAGAGGACAGCAAGAGGCCCCTGGAGACCTCCCCAGCCCAGGTCTGTGTGTAGGGGCAGGAGGCGGAGGCAGGAGGCGTCTGGGTCCAGCTCAGGTCGCTGAGGACCTTGGGGCACTTGGGACGCAGGGAAAGTGAGCCCATGAGGAGTGGGTGGACAGCTGCATTCAGAGTGTCCCCCAACCCCCTGCCCAGAGTCCAGAGACCAGCTGAACAGCTTGTCCCAGAGCAGGCCTGGAGGGAGCCCAGCTGGGATGGGGCCATTCTCCATCTTCCCCACCTGCAGGGCTCTGTGGAGAACAAAGGGGGGCCTGCGACCACAGGATGACCACAGGACCACCGGACCCACCCAGAGGGACAAGCCTGGAGGAGGCCCAAGGCAGTGGGATGGGCTCCGCAGGGGCATGCTCCGACCCCCCCCCTTCCCTTCCTGCCTGCCAGCCCCCGGCTCTCCCCCTCCCTGCCCTGGGCCTCTCGCAACACAGGGTCTCCCAGGCTTGGCAGGAGGGGCTGAGGCGCCAACACTCACCTGAGGCCAGGAGCAGGAGGAGCAGGAGGAGCAGGGTCCCCACGCCCCAAGGTGTCGCCATCGATGGCTGGCAGAGCCCTGCAGCTGTCTGGTCCTTTGGTCCCCAGCTCTGTCCCTCTGGTCTGCCTCCCCACTGCCCACCCCACGGTCGCTTCCGGTGACGGCCTCTTTCTCACCCTTCCTGCTCAGTGGCGCCATCGCCATCAGTTGTGAAACGTGACTATGGGGAACTAGGCAGTGCTCCCAGTGTCACAGGCCCTGAGACCCCCTGCAGAGGGACCCCCGACTGAGCCCCGCCCAGGGGCTGCTCCCACGGCCTGCCAGTGGGGCTAGGGTCGGTGGCAACAGGGGACTCTGTACCAGAGCAGACCCTGGGAATGGTGAGCCCAGGCCCCGGGCCAGGGCTCCACTCAGACACCTCCTCTTGTAAATGGGGACCTCATCTCCCCCGCAAAGCGCTGGTGGCAGTAGGTGGCCTCCTAGGTGGGGTCGGGATATGCTGAGACAAGCCAGGCACCTGGCCTGGCTCTAGGGATGAGGTCCAGATGCTGGGCTGCCCCCCCCCCCAGCTGCTGGGGGCCTGGGAGGAGAGAGGAGTGGCCCCGCAGACCTGCTCAGGATAACAGGAAGGACAGGGAGGCAGGGCGGCGTGGGGCAAGAGCACGGGCCCTGGCAGAGTGGTCAGGCCTGGGCTGACGTCTGTCCTAGCCACTTCCTGGCCAGGTGACCCTGCCTGGGCTATCTGCCACTCACAGGCTTGGGAGGAACTCATGACTGAGGCAATGGGGACTTGCTGGTGGGGGAGGGGCATTATCATCACTGTCACTCGATGGTAATCAGTTCTGTGAATTAATCGTCATCCTCCCTAGACTGGTTGCTGCTGGCCCAAGCGGGAAGTGGGGGCAGCAAACACACGCCACCCCGGCTCCAACTCTGTGGCCTGGAGGAAGCCACAGGTGAGGCCAGGCCTTTGGAGTGTTCCCACGGCCACTCGGAATTCAAAAGGCAAAGGGCCCCCGTGTGTTGTCACCAGCAACCCCCAGGCCCCTGGGGCGGAGGCTAGCCCTGTGGTACCTTGGGGAGCTACCAGGCCTTCCCTTCCACAGGGCGTCCAAACAGGTCTCTGCTGGGTCCTCTGGGCCTGGGGAGGGGTGGGGACAGAATTCAGGGTCACTTATGGGCTGTGGGAAGCAGGTGGGAATCCAGGGTAGAGCAGCAGCTCAGAACCCAGAGTTCCTGGGCCCCAGAACTTCCTCAGCAGGGAAGCTGGGACCCGTGGGACCTACCGGCCTCCACCCGCCACACAGGCAAGTGCCAGGGGAGGCCAAATCTCAGGGCCAACACAACTGTGGCTACTTCTTCCACTACCTCTTGTACTTCAGCTTGTCCCAAAGGTTCTAGGAGAGCAGGGTCTCAAGCCCTCTGGTCAGACCTGGCCAGTATTCACCCCTAGGCCACCCGATCCAGTTCCCGTGCCACAGGGACACCCACCTGGTCATGTCCTGGG